GTAGCAAGGTAATGTCTTATGGAGTTTTAGTGTGTCACGAGTAAAAATGATTAAAAAAAAAATCATACTTATAAATATATGTAAATAAGATTTATTATAGATAATAAATAAATAATTTAAAATAAATATTTATAAATAATGTATAAATATTCATAAATAATGTATATAAATATTTTTTTATTTATTTATAAATAATCGAGAATAAATATAATATTTATACTACAAATATATATTAAGTAAAGTTATTTACATATCCATACTTTTATCTGCTATTTTTTTTATATTAGTATAATATTTTAACAAAAGATTTAATTCTTTTAAAGTGAAAGGAGATATTTTAGAGAATAAAATACATTTATAATTATTGTCAAAAAATTAATAATTAACAATTCTAACAAAATCAAATTTTTGTAAAATAAAATATAAAATTAATTATAATTTTAACTATTAATTTTTTAATTAATGATAACACCTTATTTTTTAAAGTACAATTCTTTTATCTTAAAATAGTTAAATTGTGGAAGAAAATTAACGTTAAATATAAATTTAAAAAATAATAAAAATCACTTATTTTAATATTTCAATAAATTTAATATAAAATATAAATATAAATATAAATTTTTTATATAAGATTTTCTTTTAAAAAAATAATCATTTTAAAAAAACTTATAAATATTTATAAATGAAACAAACTTTAACCAACATAAATCCCGTAGGAGTGCATTATCATTTGACGTGTTGAGATAGCAACAACTTTTGGTGAGAGATTAATGTCGACTTTTAACATTAGCAATAACTTTTGACCATCATTATTTGGTATTTTGGTGTAGTATTTTTCATTTATTAAAAGTATACATACTAATTTTGAAATTAGAAAAATCCCAAAACTTTATTCTTATATGTTTTAGCAAAAGGTGCTTTAGAGTTAAAAGAAACCAATTAAGAGAGAATCGTGAATAGACCATAGCCATAAAATTTGACATGGAAACCGTACATGAAGACTTGGGTACTAAACGTTACATTGTCCTATTCCGCATTCTCATCCTTATTCATTCCACTCTTTTTTATGGTAAAAAGCACGCCAGAAAAGAAGGGGAATTGTATCAAATATCAATGATACCAATACATCATTATTCATTGCCTGTCTAAAACCAGTAAAACTCCACTAATAAATATAATTTCGTCAAATTCATATCCAATCACTATGAATACTGACAAAAAATGTTAATTAGGTTTGTTTCCATTAATGTAAACTTTATCAAGATTGAGCGATTAAGAAAGACACTTTCTAAGTCTATTTTAAATTAGGGGAATAATAGGGTAACAATTTTCACAAACTTAACCTACTCAATTTAATTTAATTATATTTTTATAAGTTGAGTTGGATCATCAAATTGGGTTGAATAATTTTTTTATATTACTTAATTATAATTAAATTGGATAATGAGTTTATGTGTTTGTTATACAATTAATTTTATTTATAATAAATTACTAAATCAATTTTTATATATTAAATATGAATTTTTATTCTGTATGAGAATATTTTTTTTGAATTTTTTTAACGAAAAGATTTTTTTAATTTTTATAATTTTTTATTTAATTAAATTTTTATTTATCATAATTATTTATGAATTAAATTTTAATATTTTAAAATAAATTATCAATAAATAAAAAGTAATATTATGTTATAATATGAATTATTTATAATAAATCAAATTTTAATTTATATTTTTAAATATTTATTTATATAAATTTTAAATATAATTTATATGATCAAACATAATATTTATTTATATATAATTTATTATAAAATTTAATTATATAATAAATATTTATGTACAAACTAAAATATTAATTAAATAATAAAATACTATACACAATCACATATATAGTAGTACACTTATCGTTATTAGTATTAACTTACAAGATATCAAAAATAGAAAGTAGAAACACGAACCTACCTCTGAGACATTAACCCTACTCTATATAACTAATTTAATATTTAGACATAAATTAAATTCTATTTTTTTTGTCAAATATTATATAAATTAATTGATTCGTTAAATTGAATAAGTCATTGAATAAGAAAAATAATTTGATTTCACTTTTTTTATAATTCAAAATTTATTATGTCAGTTACTTAATATTTATTTATTTAAAATATTTATGATTTCTTATTTGTAATTGTCATAATGTTGTTTTTGTATCATATATTAAAATTTGAATTATATATATATATATATATTAAAAAATTTAAAATATATTATTTTTTAGTTGTTTAACTCGATTATTCAATTTGATTGTAGTCGGATTGAATCATTAAAAAAAAAAAAATACAAATCCAACTTAATCCAATTAAATTTAATAGGATTGAATACTAAAATAATTGAAATTCTATCTGTTTACATTCCTTGTTTAAATAATAATAAATTAGATTGATATATACTCTATTTTTACTTATAGAGTTTCATTATTTATTAATATCATATATTAAATTATTAACAATTCTTTATTTTGAAAAAAACCATATTAACAAAAGTAAGCCTAATAGTATACAACAAATTAATGGAATTTGACTATTGTAAAATACATGATCATGGTGCACTTTAAAGCTAAAGTGCGGAATAAGAATTTTTTATTAAAAAATCAATAAATAAAATATTAATAATATTATATATTTTATTACAAAATACTAATAAACAGTTATTATTCTATATTTAACTTAAAATGTGGTCCATATTTAAAGGAGTTAAATCCATTGATTATTTAGTTAGTGTATGAATTTTTTTTATTGAAAATTCATTGCCAAGAAAAAAATAGTCACTGTGTTATAAACTAATTAATCTAATGGCTAATTTTGACCAAGTGCCATATATATATGTGGTGTGGGAAATTGATGTCTGGAATACTTATCCTGTTTAATTGGAAGCCAAAAAAATATTCGTGGTTCCATGAATTAAATGGTATGGGAAGGCGAGGCATTTAGCAAGATGCTTGATAACCAAACTTTAAAAGCAGCACAATGTAAGTTCTATATTGTGCCAACTCTTCCAGCTTTTCTCTCTATGCATAGTGCAAATTAAAACAGACGGTCCTCAAGAGTTAGGGATGACAAGAGGATATGATACCTTACTATTTGGTCCGACCAGAATCAAACAAATTCAGGATTTTATATATATATATAAATATATATCTTTTTATTTAGAAATTTATAAAAATATGAGACAAAAATAAGGGGTCCAAAGTCTTTACTATTAATATGATCATATAGGAGAAACTTACGTACTAGCTATAAGAATATGATTATAAATATATATATATATATTTTTTTTTTTTCCCTCCCTTTTCCTCCATGAGTAGCACTTTCTTTTTTGTTGAAATACCTTTTCCGGTAATGTAGGTGATTTCAAACACGAGTTCAACTTATTGAAATTTTTTTTAATGGGTACTTACATGAGTAAAATTTGTTATGAATTAAAAACAAACAATTAAATGAATATCTATACTAATGAGGTGGGGGAGAATAGTAAGTACACTAGCTTTTAGGTATTTACACTTTAATATTATTTAAATATTTTTAATCATTTATAAAATAACTTACTAATTTATTTAATTTTATAAATATATATTTCAAAATTATTTATTTTTAGTATAAATAAATATTACAATTTTTTTAGTATAAATATATATTTTAAATATATTTAATTCTAGTTTCATTTCATTTTTTATTTTTGTTTAACATTTTATATTTTAATTAATATTCTTAGACATATTAGTGAGCTAATTTGTTATTATCTCTACTACTATCATTACCTTCACAAACATCACACACAATTTAAAATTAATTTTAGTATGATATAGAACCTACTAGGTAACTATATTTTGAAACTAAGAGTTAAATAAAAACCAAAACTAATTTTTTAAAACTAAAAACTTGAGAGAAAAAAAACCAAACTAAAAACTAATTATAATTTTTGAATTTATTTTTGTAACCATACAACTAAAAATTACTTCAAACGGCGATTGGGAAACTTAAGTCACTCGGAGTTTGAAAGTTTTTCATTTCATGAAATTGAAGCATGATTTTCTCTTTCATGATTTTTTACTACAAAAAAGGCTTTAGCAATATTTATATTTTGTTCCTTGAAAAAATACTATGCAATTTCATTATGATTTGGCATCCCATTAAGCTCTCGTTTAGTTGCAAAATAAAGTAAAAATACATGCATATGTTTAGGACTAATTTTTATATATTACATATTTAAAGTTTTATTAAAAATAATATAGAACAAGTACTAAAAATAACCCTAGTCATATATGTCTCTACAAGAAAAACTAAATTTAATAATAAAACTATTTATATATGTGTTTAAATGTTACTATTTTTTTTAATTTCATTATATATAATATTTGTTTATATATTTTGAGTTATATCTTTCCTAAATGAATATACTTCTTGGCAAAAGTATAAACTAAGTCAAGTTAAATCAAATTTGATTGGATTTAGGATTTAATCCAATTAAACATAATCAAATTAGTTGAATTGGGATGAATTTGTATTTTTATTGGTCAAACAACCCAACTCAATCCAATCTTAATCCATTTGAGTTGAGTTAAGTAATTAGTTTTATTTATTAAATATTAATATATTTAAAATTTTAAAAATGAATAAAAATTCATTAAAATAAATATATACTGTTTTAAATTATATTATATATTTTCAAACAATACTAAAAATTATAAATGATATAATATATGTCCTAAAAGACTCCAACATCATTAAGAAAAATACAATAATGTGGGAAACAACTATGATAATTATGTGAATTATATATAATAAGAATCAACAAACTACTTCAATGTCTTGGACCCCTACTCGCTTGGGTTAAAATTTATTTTTGTACAGCATTGAAATTTGTACTTGAAATGGTGGACTTGCATAATTAATCAGTTTACATGTTGATATTATTATGTGAAGAATTAATGTTTAATTAGTTTACATTAAAATTATTAAAAGTGGGCATGGATAAGTTTCATCTATGAGGGTAAAGTAGCAAATCTTTTCACAGTAGTTGGCAAGTGGAAAAGATGGGTTTGCATCCAACTCCAACATGTACCCTGTCATTCTATTATTTGTTGTACTTTTGAGACTTCACTCAGCCATATCTTCTTTTCCATTATTTTCCTTGTCTCGTCCTTCGTCTTCACTTTTTGATGCATTATCATCATCCTTGCCAACCAAATTGTTCTTGCTACAGGTGTTGTTGTCGTTGCTGCCCATACCTTTATCATGTTCTGCTGCCGTAGACGTGACAACAACCTCGATTTCTTGTAATTCTGGAGTAGTTTCTAAGTGACCAGTCACTTTTTTCATTTCTTTGCTCTTACCCCACAGCACCATGTACAATCCAATCACAATTAGCATTGCTCCAATTACACTAAACATGTTTCAAAAAAACAATTCATGAATGTGTATAATCTAAGGTTAATTATTAAGGTATATATTTAGGTGCACTAGAATTTAGTATATAGTATATACCTCCCTAAGTATAGGTTCTCATCCAACATCAAGGAACCAGCAACCGCCACAAGCACAAGCATCAGAGGATTGAAAATAGAAGCATATAATGGACCTCTCATCCGTACACACCATGCAATGACAACAACCATTATTCCAGAGGCTACAATTCCCTGCAACACCACCACCAATTCACTTGAGCATGCGTGTCTCATTTTATTCATCATGATTACTTTCGATAATTTCCTTTATTAAACCAAGATGTTAGTACTAGTTATGCATTTATCATACCGAATATGCTGCAGTTAGAAGCCTAATGCTCCAACCCAACCTCCATTGGCTCCAATCCTTCTCAACACACAAGGCAAAAACAGTGGCTTGGATTGCCCCCATGAAGGACATCAAAGCTGTACTTGAGAGGTGGCTTGGGAATTCTTTGCTCATCTGAGCCTGCAGTGTCATATATATAGTAATTAAAACACTAACAAAATCCTAAGACTTGAATCTAAGACTTAAAGAGATTAAAGTCCGATTTTTGTCCGGGTCAACGATTTGTTATTCCTTACGTGTTATATATATATGTAGTGACAAATTGAAGTGGCTAACCTGAATGATGAGCCATAATGCAAAACAGAAGCAGCTTCCAAGACCACAAAAAATCCCTAGAATTTTACTACCAGAGTCACCATTTAGTGGTCCCGTGGGACCCTTCTTATGCAAAAGGTTAATGTGGAAGGTCCAAATGTTAATTTCTACACCTTTGAGAAAGGTCAGCATCATTGCCCCGCCAACTCCTGTTATCGTTCCTAACACTTTAGCCTTGCCTGCTGCTCTTTGCAAATTTAATTTTTCGAAGCTAAGGATATTCCAAAGCAATGTTGATTTATCAGTAATCATCTATGTTATATGATGTTCGAACATTAAATAGCTTGTTGAAATGAAATATGAAAAGTTTAGTAGTTGGGGTGTATCAGATGAATACGTACCCGCAAGAGACAGCCAAGATAAACGTGACGGCAGGAACGAGATTATAAACAGCGGAAGCAAATGTAGCTGAAATCAATTTCAAGGACTCGAAATAAAGGTTTTGGAATAAACTTCCCCTGTTATGTTATTGCATGATCATGTGAAAAAGAAATAATTGTTAAAAGCTTTACATATATATAACTTGTATAAGTGTCTAACTAAACAAGCTAGGAAATTAAGGGTGATGAAATCACGTAAACTTACCCAAATAGGCCACACAAAAATGACTTAAAAATCACCCTCCAAGTCAGCTTTTGTCTGTTTTTCCTGTAAGTAATGATAAAGGAGAAGCCATTTTAACCGAGTTATAGTGTATATATAGTAATATTGGACTACAGTAATAGTGAAAAGTGCAGAAACATACAGGAAGTTTTTGGAATATATGCTTTGATTAAGGCATAATTAAGTATATATGGTTATAGCCAATTTTTAGGTGACATGTAGTTGACTTTTATTTTTTAAATTAAAATTTTTTACTATGACATGTGAAGATTGATCGAGATCATGAACAGTTTCTTCCTGAACTATATACAATAATATTTATGAAAGTTGTGGGGCTATAGCTAGATATGTATGAACCTTTCAAAAATAAGAGCAAGAGGAATAGTGCAAGCTGCTGCAAAAATGAGACGGTATGCAGTAACTATTCTAACACTCATTCCATCGTTTATGGCAAGTTTGTAGAGCACATTCAGGGAAGCAAATGCAATCTGAACCATCAACATGAACATGGCTGGCTTCAATCCATGCACCACTTTCCCTATATCTCTCATTGTTCACACGTGTGCAATCACTCACCGTACACTCTTGTACTATATATGTGTGTCTATGATCACAACTAGCTGCTGCAAAAGGGTTTTCAATTGAAGCAAATAGAAAGCGATAATTAAGGAGTTATGGTTTATGGACGTAGCCATGGCTTGTTTATATACATATAAACAAATGCAAGCTTGGCTCCAAATTCAAAGAGGCATTATGTTGCTCTGAGACGTTAGTCATATTTGCTACATCAACCGTCTTTCGTATGTAGCGTTAAAGGTTGGACTCTGAAGACCATGTGCATAGGAAGTCAAATTTGTTTAACTATACCACAGTTACATTACATGGGACCATGTTTAGACCTAGTGCTAGGAACACGGAGATTCCGAGCACACTTTTAACTCTAAAGCATATATATTAAAATGAATGCGACGATGAAAATAAGGACAAAATTTAGTTACAAATTCTTCAACTATTTTTTTTATATTGTTCTTTAATAAGAATTATAGTTCCACTTTAGTAACATGTATTTATTTTTTATGGAATTTTTTATTACATAAAATATTAAAATGAAATTCCAATTAATTTTAAGAATATCCAAGTTTTTATCTTCAAATTAAACAATTGCATATAGAGAAGAAACGTGTTTAGAATACAGCTGCGTTGAATAGCTCAATACTTATTGTGTTTATATGTGTCGATCGTACATATATAAAAGAGTTGTTTTAATATTTTTGTTCGCAGGTTAAAAAATTATATCTTAGTATATAAAAATATATGACAGAATGACTTTTTTAAGCTTAAGCAAGTCAACAAACCCTTGATCTATTATTGCAAAAATTATTTTACGTTCAATCTCGATTAAAATTTAATTCGAAAGAGTTATCATAAAAAGGAATTTTGTCGAAAGAAATAAAAGAGCATAAAATAAGAGGTGGGGGGAGGGGGGCGCGGGAAGCGTACCCACTATAATTGTGGGGTATCGGAATAATCATCTAAATTTTATTTTTTTATTGTAGCTATTAATTAACAGGTAATAGTAGTTCTCATAACACACTAGTAAAACGTCACCTCTTTGTCGTCAGACATATCAAAAACTGACGTAAAAAAAATGCGGTGGCATTTTTGTAGTTTTTGTGAATTTTTTTACGACGGACTCCCTTATGTCTGACGTAAAAAGGTCCATTAATCTTCCCGCTTGCGTCAGTATTTAAAAACAAGAGACATGTGAAATGGTGTGAGACAAAGAAGAAGCTCAACCGCTTAGGTCAGATTTATTTTCTAGCACTCTTCACTTTCTTTCTTCGGTTTCGGTTTCGTCAGAAGTAACACACCAACACCAAAATTTCTTGCTTTTTTACTTTGTATTTAAAGTCTAAACTCATGCATGATATATTTAGTTTTATGTTTATTTAGTTTCTTTCAATTTTGTGTTATGCTTTCAGGTATGATTATTCAGGATATGGAGCATCTATAGATAAGGTATGTAACTCGTCTAATTCATAAGTTTGTAAGTTTTTTTTTGTGTAGGGGATTTTGATTTTGCATCGGAACGACTCATGCTGCAAGTAGAACGACCCGTTCTGCTTGCACTTGTTATGTTTTTTTTTGTTTACAACTTTTTTACGTCGACTCTTGGGAATGGCCGACGTAAATTTACGTCGGGCCATCACAACCGACATAAATTTACGTCTCCCAGATTAACGTTGAACCTTTTTTTGACATAAAAAGCTTAAAATAACCGCGTAAATTATCCTTTTTGTACTAGTGAAAAAATTGAAATTGAAAGCTAAATTCATGTTCTTTTAGTTGAATCTTAAACTAAATTATAAACATATTGTTAGCAGCACGTTTTAATATATAGTTGGTATCAGAAAAAGAAATTAAGTTGACTTTAATTACCCAACATTCTTTTGTTTGCAGTCAATCAATAAAACGACAAACAAAAAATGGCAACTAGTGTTAGACCAAAAATAGAAGAAAACAAAATCAAATAGCAACTTGTTGAAACCAATAGAAGGATTAAAATTTGAAACAAATTCCTTGGGTGTCATCACTATTAAGTGCTCCTCTTATTTTTACTCAAAAGACTACGGTTATTTTCCCTTTGTCTTCGTGATTTTGAATAAATGTTGATGTTGTCTCTCAAGCATGCTTATTTATTACTTAAGTCAGAAAGAATAATAAATAAACTTTTACCAATTTGCTTTAACGTGCCGGCGAGCAAATATATATATATATATATATATATAT